GGCGACGTTCCCACTTGCTTTTCGTTCCTGGCTCAACTCCGTCTGCAGTTGTGCAGGCGCAGGTCGGTCCCGGCGAGTCGTCTCATATGACCCACACACCTCTCGAACCTGCGAACCACCCGCGCGATCGCCAGGCGAAACCTCGGCCACCTGCATGCCACGAACGAACGCACCGATCCTTTCGACCAGACGACGAGGAGTCGTCGATTCTGAGCCCTGTTGCAACCGTTCGCCAACGCCGCCTCCACGTGGCGTCGACTCCCCAAGCAAACCTTGGAGGCGAGATCCCTGCAAGGCCGGTTTCAAAGGAGCACGCGGATGGTCGCCCTCCGAGTCGTCTGACATGCCCACCTCTTGATSAGGAGGCGTAGCTGGCAGGCCACCCTGACCTCCCATTCTCCTTTCAGAGCACTCTCCCCCCGCGAACCCAACAGGACCACTGATCGATGTCCCAAGTCCGACGTCCACGGCACTGACAGAGGTACCTGATCTCGCCCAAACCTCGACGAAGTTTGTCACGTGAACGGCCTCGTCGTGCCCCAGCGCTAGCGSGACAAAGGACGGCAAAGACATCGCACGCTGGCCATACCCTCCGAACATCCTCCCGGCAGCCTTGCATCCTTTTGCGATGTCGTCGACGGAACCATCACTTCTGTAAAGCTTCCGCAACGTAAACTTGAAATTGTATTCGCCTTCGTCAACCCACTCGAGGATGGACCCTGCGAGACGCGTCCTATCGGCGCGAACGGCGAGGAACAAGAGCGGCCCGCACGGTGGTTTCAATGGGTCGGAGCTGTCCTGGCTCGCCCAGTCCAAATACCAGACACGTTTGCTGTAGTCGCACCACAAGTTTTGAGCCCTTCGGTCTTCCTCCCCACCGCCACCTCCCCGACTCGTTTCCCTTGTCGGTGACGACGTCGTCCCTCGACGCTCCTCTCCATKCGGGGCGGAACCACCAGCGGAGCGGCTTCGTCCGTGTGTAGCCATTCCCTGAAACACGCGGAGGAAATGAACGCACATGCACTCAAAACACTCAGCACGTCCTAACATCAATCTCGACCCACAACACGTATTCTGTTATCGATCACCCGGACCCCAAAAGAACGAAGTTCAGTCGTAGTTAGACGACAGTGGTCCACACGCCTGCTTGAAAGGAGGGCAACTGCACATTTCGGATGAATCCGAGGCATCGTGAGCCATCCTCGTCACACTGCCCTTAAGAGAACGAATGATCGAAATCGAAGACCGTGGGACRGTTCGGATACATCCGAAGTAGGCGCAGTCGAAAGACCGACGTCGCATATGGTTGCCAATCATAGGCACCTGCACCGGGAAAAGCAAGACCGCGCTAGAAGGCCCTAGAACGCTGATACAGCAGACGAAGATGTGCACCCCATGGTGACACGGTTTCATCCGAAGTCGACAAGCGGATGGTAAAGTTCGTCGGTGTAGTTCGGATGCATCCGAGCTCCAAAGTGCTGTGGACCACGCCCGTGTGGCCCGGACCAATCCGAACTCGAGTTTTCTCGTCCTTCTGAGTCGGCAACGGTTGTGACTCGGATGCATCCGATTTTGAACAGCGTGGTCCAGAGACGGTCGTCCACAAGAGGACGCCATCGACAGT